CACATGGAAACGTGAAGGGGGATGTTTCCGACGGTGGGACACGATGTGCGGACGTTAAATGACGTTAAGAGGTGCGGAGAAAAACAAATCAACTGTCAAAATGAAACCTCCACAAAATGTTCGGGAACGCGTTTGGTTCTTATAAACACTTATAAGGCAACCGGCGGGATGAGCGTCGCACCGAGGTCATTGCATGTCATACCCAGCCGCCAACGGACTAGCAGTGTGGGCCGGCGCACAGCTTGCAGTCCACACTATGTTGGTTTCTCCCTGACTTCTACTGGTGCCCCCGGCTGGGCCGGTGTACGCCCTGCCGGGGCCAAGTTTCAATACGTTCGCTCGAAAAGCGAGAGAGCGCACGTACCCCGAACTGCAGCAGTCCACCAGGTGAAAGCTTGTCGTTTTTGAGCCCGGTGGCCGCTGGCGCATTGAAGCTGCGACCTTCGTCAAACTCCTCACGCCTGGATGAGCACGCTGCCCCCCGCCTCCTCTCGCAGACCGCGCATATCTTGTGTTGGATGTGTGTGGTGCAGTTGATGCTCGTAGTGTCCTTGGCTTTGGTCTGTTGCGTGAGAACGCATGATGCTACATGGCTTCCTGCAGCCATCCCAGTCACGAGTCAGAACGTCAGCCGAATCAAGCCACTTCGTCAAGAGGTGCGGCGAATTAGTGTAGCGATTGACCATGCCCGCTCATGTGGAACAATATGTTGACCCTGCGCAGAGAGAAGCCACGACGCTGTACGCAGATGTTGAATCAGATGTTCATGACACTGTGGGAGCCATAATGGTTTCGAGCCATGAACCATCGCCAGACCAGGTTCTCACATGCACTTACACGGCATCGTGTCCTGGAAGGAGGATTCGTGTCACGCGTCCCTAGTTTTTTGTTGCTGGAGGCAGATGTGATCCAAGAACAAGTCAGACAGTCCAGGCACGGTTTGGTTGCATGCTCGTGGCTGGAAGCCGTTCCGAGTAACAATGGCGCTCCGAATTAGGGGTCAAAGACTGGATGCTTCAACGCTTCATACACATGAGCAATCATGAACAGTTGGTCGTTGAGGTTGCACTAGGTTCATTGGCTAGACCTTCAATTATGGTTTGTTCACAGACCGGTTCTGCCAACTGCGTGCACGCGAACATGCCATCATAATATCACTGCTCTCTGGAGTTCCGACAAGTTCTGCTAAGCTGAGCCGTCCATTAGAAAGTGCCACATGCGTGCCGGGGGTCGTGTTTCAGGGAGCTTGCTGTTTAATTTCCGGCGGTGTGTAGTGTTGTGCTTCTGGTTGTCGCGATGTTTGACCGAAAATATCAACGATCCAGCACATCAAGTGTAGCTGCGAGTGACGGTGAGGATCAATACATGGTTGTGAGCCAAGCCACATGAACCCCAGCATGTGAGATTTGGAGCGGCTTCTCTTTGCCAGGAAAGATGCAAAGCGTGCAGAAGCTAGACGAGCCGGGCAGCTCAATTGTTTGGGCAAGTCTGGCTGTGCGACGATTATATTGGGAAGATATGTTTCAGCCAGTTTACGCCATCGAGCATTAAAGCAAACGGTGCCACATGTTCGCGAATTCGGTGACAGCCTGCATGCGCTGAAATAGTTAGCCTATGTTGGCCTTGAAAAATAATTGAGGATGGAGGGACCCGTGATGCACAGGTTGTGCGTAGGAATAGCAGCATCAGTGCCGCCATGGCGCGCGCCCGCCACGAAAACAGCAAATTTGGCGGGCAGCTGTGAAAGCATGCAGCATGCCAAGGCCTTGGCCATTCTGGAAGTCAAGGATGGCGTAATTGAACGCTTGGAGCAAGAGGTGCATGCAGCGGAAGCGGAAATCAGCCATTATGAAGGAGGTGCAGAACTGGCGGAAGCCCGCGCGGTTGCGGCATCAGTGACTGAGGCAACCACTGCGCTGATCCACGATGATACGCGACGTGCGGCTGATGCACATGCCGAGAGCGATTGCCAAATGTTGGCGGAGATGGCACAGCAAGCAGAACGTCGTGCCCAATATGCAGCCATTGAAGTTGTGGAATTGGGAGAAGAGAGTAAAGAGGCTGAACACAATCTTGAGAAGTTATCTGCTGAGATTTCGCGTTTGTCGTCCCCTGCCAAACCACTGGCACGACCTCTTGCCGCCGAAGCTGCTCTGTTGCTTTCGAGTCTGTTCATGGTTTGTTGAAGGCATGCCCGAAGGTCGGCGAAGGCAAAGTGAATCACGGCAAGAAACCAAAAACCGTGGAGCATTAGGTGTCTGGTCCAGGACATGTGCGGGGTTTTAGCATTGGGCCCCATCCTTTGCCAGATCTGGCGAGCCGATACGCCTTCCCGTGTGCCGAGCTGAGGTTGTTCGGCTGGAGGTGGCGCTGATTGAGTCTCAGAAAGCCCTTCTCAAAGCAGAAGAGAGAGCACAACAAGCTCGACAACACGAACTGTATCTTCTTCAGCAAATCGGCCATCCGGCAGCACATTGTCTGCAAGTGTCCATCACTTTGCGATTCCTATCCCTCAGGCGCCGGCTCGGGCATCACGGAGAGCGGCACGCCTAGCGAAAGCACAGAAGCTGACAACCAGCTGTGCAGCCGAAGAATGGCAGTGGTGGAAGAGCACTTGGAGGAGCTCTCTGCTGTAACTAGTGCCGTGCGTCCTCTCCTAACAGTCCTAACACCGAAAAAATTCGAGGAGATACTGGAACGGCACGAGGCAGAGATGGTTTCTTTGTCTACTCGATGCTGGGATTGCAGCAGCCCTACTTGTGAGAGTTTTCCAGGCAGAGGCAATCAACCACCAGATACAGATAGCCTCCGAGTTTGTACTGCAATTACTCGCATGCGGGTGTTGAGGTTCGTTTCGCATTCACGCAACTGTAGCCGGATACTGTAGCAGATATCATAAGCAGCTGAGGGCTTTGCGCAGATGCACGTGCCACAGCAGACCGCCTTGGGCCATTGCAGCTCCGTTCTCCACCAAGTTTTCAGACTGTCAAGCCTCGACCGACCGCGCGACCGGCACCAGGGTCAGTGCCGAAGCCAGCGCAAGACCCGTTCGAAGAGACTCAGCTGCTTCGCAAGCGCTGCCATCTCTTGGAACAAGACCTTTCACAGGCCATGCAGCTCACACAGCATGTGTCTGCATTGCGAGATCGGGCAGAATCAGACAGCCACAGAGCAGCGTCCCAGCTCCAAGGCGCCCGTCAACAATTCGCGGCTACATTGTCGCAGCCAAAATATTTAAACCAAGCGCCTCAAGCAAGTCAAGTTTCCAAGCGTGCCGGCAGTCGAGGTCCCGACGAAGTTGTGCAGGAGACTTCAGAGCTTCGAAAGTCTTTACACATACTTTGTAAACAGTTGCGTGAACGAGCGCAGAAGGGAGATCACACAACAGACTCCCAACAGACTGCCTTGCTTCAAGGAGTCGCAGATGTCGGGGGGCAGGTCCTTTTGGCAATGGCATCTCTTGGGGATGTTAACCACAAGCTGCAGCTTGCGGAGTTACAAATTCACCACCCGAGTCGGGCTTTCAAGTCTGGAAGCAACTCATATCACGAAGGAGATGTGAATTCGACTGTTGCAGATGCCAGGGCTCTACGTGAGCAGGCCGTGCAGGCCGCAGACATGTTGAGGCTGCGAGAGGCAGCCTCAGAGCAAGCGCTGCTACAAGAAGAGGCGACGTCTTTGCGCAGCGAGCTCCATCTCATGGAAGGTTGCGATGCGGCACGTGCAAAGGCACGTATGGAATACACGGAGCAGATTCGAAGGGACGCGAACCATTGCCTCGAAGAAACAGAGGCAAGATCTCTTGTTCATTTTCAGCAAACCGAAGTACCTGCGCAGGCTGAGGGACCGCTTCTGGCATTGGTCCTGCAGAACCTGGCAGGAGCTCAGCGCTGGGCTCGGACCAGTGAGTTGACAGCGATGACTTGGAAGTCCTTGGTGGAGAACCTCACCAATCATATGACACACCTTGAAGAGATTGCGGTGTCAGATGCCCTCCAACCCCACGCCCCAGCTTCTTCCTCACCTTTCATGGGTGAACTCTCACCAGAAGGCATCGCAGACAAGTGCATAAGTTCTTTAGAAGCGCACTTGACAAACCTTTCCAGCCAGTGGCACCACGCCGTGTCTGTGTGTTGCAAGACGGAGATGGATCTTCGGTCTTTGGAAGCCCAGATGCGAACCAAACCGGAAGCAGCAGCCAAAGAAGCTGCAGCGCAAATGCTCCGGCAAGTAAGCGTTTGGAACCAAGACCTGCTACAGAGATGCATCAGTTGGCTGACACGCGCAACAGAGGTGGCAGACTGGCATGCGATGGCTGCAGTGCGAGAACTCGGTCTGGAACACTCTGTGCGTGACCTGGCGTCCATGAATCAGGCCTTGCGAGAACATATTTGGAGTTTGGAAGCGGAGCATGAGAACCTTAGCTCGGCAGCTAGTTGTCAGAGTCACTCGGCTGATTCCATTCCGAGGGGAATGAGGGACGGTTCTGGCCTACAGCAACACATTGACTCGCTGAAGTCTGAGTTGGGATCGGCACGTGGCGAACTTTGTGCTGTGAAGGAACAGTTCGACGTAATAAAGAACAAGCTGCACCATGCTCTTCACGATGCAGGAAGCGTCAGTCGCAACCACGAATCTCCACAAAGTTTTGGTGGGAATCAGAACACTGCCTTAGCGCAGATCTGCCCAGTGTTATCTTCAATTGCACGGCAAATGCAGCACATGTGCCAGGAGACGGACACCCGAAAGAGGTTCGATGCATGTCACATGGTTCTGGAAGAATTGGAACGAACACGATCATGGTGTAGGCAGGTGCAACAAGAGCTTAAGCAACAAGGTGCTGTTGCGGAGAAGCTGCTTGCCGCTACGCCTGGAGATATGTCTGTAGGCTGTTCTCAGAAATCTGCTCACAGTTCGGCGGAACCTGAGCCGTCCGACTTTGAACCATCCATCTCGAATCGAACGTTGGAGCCTCGGTCGTGCCATGCGCCACGTCCTGTCTCTTTGCTCCTTTAGGTCGTTATATCACACGCAAGAACAGCTCAGGTCGGGGGCGATTCTTCATCGGGTTGAAGCCATCCTGAACATGCAGCAGGACCTTCAAACGGGTTACAGGACCGTCACACGTGAACTCTATGAGCTCCAAAACAAGAGGCAGAAGCAGGAGCTACTGGGCCAGCCATTAGAAAAGCTGTGCAGTGGGATATACACCAGCAATAGTTGGTCGGCTTGCTTTTGCCTTACCCACTGCTAAATCGTTAATCAGGGTCAGCTTATTTCAGTGCCGGCCTCGGGCCTACTCAGAGTACTGTTGCTTGTGCTTCTTTCAGGCCGAGACTCAGGCTGCCGCAGGATCTTATGAAAAAGGTAACGACGAACACCATCGCTATGCTGATACTGACTATGACTATGAAGGTGATGGTTGCGCAATTTTGAGTGGGCCGATATGAAGCCGATGAACGACAACGACCGTCAACAAATCTATCAACAGCAACCCTTTGGCAGAAGCGGCAGCAGCAATAGCATTAGCAGAGTCGCAGTAGTAGTCGTCGTCGTAGTAGTAGTAGTAGTAGTAGTAGTAGTAGTAGTGGTGATAGTAGTGCAGTAGCAGTAGTAGTACGTCGTAGTGCGTAGTATTACGTAGTAGGTAGTGGAGTCTTGCTGGATGCAAAAGGTAGTATGTAGTACATCGTAGCAGAATTATGTGAAAGGTGGTCTCCAGCAGCTGGCATCCAAGAGTGAAAAACAACAAAGACGATGGAACTTCAGCTGGCCTGCAGGAGAGGCTGGATCGAATGAAGGACCTGTACAAAGTACAAACTGTTTGGGCATGCACGACCGAAGGAACGAAACCAGGAACGAAGGAATCTCTGGCGTCGACTACTGAGGGTTGCGTGGCGAATGGAACTGAAAGTTTTAGTTTGGTGTCCTCAGCTAAAGTAGGGTTGTCGCATTGAGGGCCACGAATCGCACTTTTTGCATCACGTTGTCACTCTTGCTGGCTGTTCCTCCCGGCGGGCGATCGAGCATGCAACCACTGAGGAATGCCATCGGACAGCTGCAGGGCCAGCTGCAGCGGCGTGTTCAGGGCCTGAAGCAGCTCGAAGGCTTGGTGGAAGCAGGAAGCAAGAAGGCGAAAACAGCGAAGGAGTGCGCTTTAAGACAGGCTTAGCTGAGTTTACCCTTTGTGGCAGTGGCCGACCTGTTCATTTGACCCAGGAGAAAGCGGTTCTCCACGCTCAGATGGAATTGCAGCAAAGCTTCCAATCAGAGCTGGCAGAGCTGCAGCCCGTCCAAATCACTGGCCTCATACTGTAGCTGGCAGCGCAGTTGCGACAAACAAACTACTCGTATAGATGCACACGTCATGCATTGTGTGCCACTGCCGGCCTGTAGCAGGCTTTCGTCACTTACCTTACTCACAGCCCGGCAAGCTTGTGGCTTCGGGCATTTCCTCCTCACAAACTTGGGGACGGTGGTAAACCCGGTAAACCCTTGAAAGGTTGTGTAGCCATCGGCAGCTAGGCCCTTCCTTCATTCAGTGTTCTCCTAGTCCTAGATTGGGTCGCCAATGATTTCTCTCAGGGAGCTGATTCACCACCAGCACTCAGCCTCTTCGGCAGCCTGGAAAGGCGGGCAGTTGCACCAAGTTGCACATGTTGCACGCCCATTTCCCAGTTTGTTTTTAGCTGCGCAGGCAAAACCGAGGAGGAAGCGGCCGTTGTCGTCCGGATGGTTGCCGAAGCCAGTGCCGCTTCAAATGCAGAGGCTGCTGCGGCCAGCGAGGCCCATACCCCCTTGGCTACAGCAGAGGCAACCTATGCTGAAAGTGAGGCTATCAGTGGTGCTAACCTGACGGCTCGACGTTTGCAGTCGCTTTCCCAAACGCTCCAGGGACAGACAATCACTCGATCTGGGCTGAAGAATCTGGCTGAGAAACTCGCGACGACATCAGAAGATCTCTCTCAGCAAGTTGAGGCTTGTACGGAAGCTCGGCAAAGGTTCGGCAAGATTGAAGAGGAAGAAATCGAAGCCGCGGAATTGGCCAAAAGCTCAGAGGCCACAAGCCTCGAACTCCAGGAGCAAGTCAGATTGCTAATGTTGGCTTCAAGTGCAGCTTGTGAGTTGAGAAACGCAGAAGCAAGCTTGGGCCAGGGAGAAGAGGAGTTGGAAAGGATCAGTGGGCAGCTGAATGTGAAAGCTGCAAGCTGTAAAGAGCTTTTTGAACAAAGGTGTCTTGCCGAAAGCCGAGCCGAAGCGGAGGAGCTCTTGCTGAGCCAGCTTCAGTCAGAAAGTCAAGGGCTAGAGTCGCGATTGCAAAGGGCGGAAGCAAGGCAACAAACCCAGGAGAGACGCTGCAGACAGGAAAGGACAGAGTGGAAGCAACAGCTCCGACAGCACCAGTTGCATGGAGTGAACCCGCGGAAGAGCATCGGAAACTTCGCCACAGAGCCGCTTGCAGTCGTCTATGAAGCGGTCCCGGACCACAACGCGCACGAAGTCTGGGAGTGCAATAGTTTGGTGCAGGAGGAGCATGCACTAGAAGAGCAAGCAAAGGAGTTGCAGATTCAGCTGGAAGCAACACGGCGTCGACACCATATGTTGGTCAAGGAAAATGACACCGAAAGATACTTGGCAAAGCGTGGTGAGGAAGTCCTTGCCAAAGAGATTGCATCTGCAAGAGGTCGAGTGACTGCAATGTCGTATGAGCTAGACCGCCTGCTTCAAGTCACTGCTGGTCCAGATGCCAGTAACGACCGCATCAGCGCGAGCTTTTCAGGTCAGCCTAATCGCGCGAGCGAGAGCGACACTGCGAAGCAGGCTTTTCGAGCTTTCAGAGGCCGTTCCAAGAAGCTGCAGGCTTCATTGGCACAGGAACAAGAGCAAGGCCGGCAACTGCGAGATCGAGTTTCCCAGCTCAAGCATGTCAATGTTCAGCTTCGTGAGCGCATCCGGGATGCTGAGCAGAGATTACACGTGAGTCGTGATGACGTGGAACGCAAGCGGGTGCTTGCTGCAACCTTGCAAAAGCGACGTCAGGAGTCTGCCGAGCAGACTGCACACGCAACGCAGCAAGAAGAGGAAAGCAGCAGATCACTCCAGCAACTTCGGAGTGATGCTGCGAGAAAGGATGCCGCCATCAAAAACTTGCAGAACGAGATAGCATCAGCCCAGCGAGAAACAAATCAAGCCAATGGCAAAGATAGAGGTCAGCAAGAAGAAGCCCGATCCAAAATGCAGGTCGAGCTGCATCGCAAGGAGCAGCTACTGCACCACGCGCGTGCAAAGGCACAGCTTCTCAAGACCCGCTTGGATGCAGAGGTCCGGCGAGATGTTCGTGCTCGGCGTGTTGCCAGGAGCGTATCGAGCAGCCGTCTGGAACGAAGCCCAGAGACAGGAAGTGATGATTTGGCAGAGTCTCCTTTGCCACCCTCGGGTGCTGAACGTGCACGAGAACCCGTGTGCAGTCTGGAATCTCTGAGAAGCTCGGGTTTCTCAGCAGTTGAAGAGCTGTCCGGCATTATATTTCAGGCGGCAAACTCCGTAGACTCTTCCTGGGAACTGTCGACGGCTGTCCAAGAGTCTTTGCAGATATTGAACCTCCAACAGGAGGATCTGGCAGAGTTCCTGCCCCCAACGGAGACTGCGCAGTCTTCTGTTGAAAAGGATTTTGCCCTGTGGCGATTGTGTTCAGGCTTTGGTTGGTGGCATGAATACATGGGCATATGACTTTCAGGTAATGGCGCCATGTGGAATGCACTTTTGACAGTGCCAAGGTCCGACTGAGGGCCAAAGAGGCACGCAAAAGAACCAGGAGGAACCAGAAGCGCAGAGAAGAGAAGCAGGCCGTACTGTAGCGCTCTGCTGCCCATGCACTCTTTGATTATCTTTGAGACTTTGCTTGTTGTCAGGCCGCCAAAGCAAAGGACAGCGAGCTCGGCAAAGCTCCTCGCGGGACACTCGGAATCATCGATCCTCGCTTCTCCTTCATCGCACTTCTTCTTATGGGCCGAATTGCTGTTATGCAGGTGCCGCAGTCCGCAGCGAGGCTGTGCGGTCTCGGGGTGAGGAAGGCTGAGAGCTAGCGACGCAGGTATAAAAGGCAAGAGTGCCTGAACAGACACCGCTGACTTGCTTGGTGCCTGTGCGAGAAGACGCTATAAGAGACCATGAGTATCGCAATGCAGACCACCTGAACCGGGAGTTTTGAAGTTAGCGATACGAACCTGCGTGGTCGACCTCAACCAATTTCCAACAGCGAGACTTTGCAGGTGACCACTATCTCACCACTACCCAACACAATTACCGATTACACAAGCAGTGTCACAAGCAAACAGGACCGACCTCACAGCACCCGATGATCCCCTGCAAAAAGACCGGTTCATCGAAGAACAGCTGAAGTCACCTGAAGGTTTCGGCTGTCGAATGGACCTGCTGTCAGTGCAATGTGTCGAGTCCAAGTTGTCTAGTTGTGTGATCATGAAGATGAATGTTGCAATTGCTTTTGCGCGAGCGAGCCCAAGGAAAACATATCCTGTCTGTGCTTGTCAGGCTTCAGCGCCTCGAAAGCGTGGGCGACCAAAGAAGACCACAGCGGAAGAGCTGCAAGTGGACTCAGGCTGGCATCCGACTGCGGAACCCCGATGGCTTGAAGTGGACGATCTTGCTGCAGGACCTGCGCCGGTGACTCCTCCCGAAGGCATCCGAGTTCGCTGCGAGATGCTAGACTCGACTGCGGAAAGCAGCTGTTCATTCGTACAAGAAACCACTGCAGCATTTTCGGAGCTGTGGGTTCTTAAACAGAATGCCTGGTCTTGTTGCGAACCAAAAGACTAAAGAGACCTGGGGTAAGCGCGTAGTCGGGCCGCTCCCACTTACGCATGTGAGGCAGGACTCGTGACTGCCTGCCCTTATCTTTTGTCGTCGCATCACCGAATGAATAGCAAGAGCAGCAGCAGCAGCAGCAGCAGCAGCAGCAGCGACGCGACGGCACTACAGGCTTTTGCCAGGAAAATTTCGCTAAACCGGAGCCCATTTACAACCGCAGGGTGACCAGACACTAGCCGCTAACAACGCTGACACCTTGTGCTGTTTGCCAAGTTCGAGACCCAGCAGCGCTGGCTTCAGAAGGGTCAGCATCGCTCTTACATGTTTCTGCTGGTGCCTTTTGCATCCTCCGCTCGTCATTGAAGTGTACGGTGTTGAGTTGGCGCTGCCCATCAAGGAGAGAGTGAGTGGGGTGACTGTCACCGAGGCCCCACGAAAGCTTGTCGCCCAACCTCCAGCGGCTAGACTGGTGGTACCCGGAGGTGCAGAGTGGGAAGATGCATGTCGAATGAATTGTCAACCCGTCTCATTAAAGCACCTGCAGGTGTGGACGCAGACGGTCCCGCACCCAAGTAAGCTTGCTGTGTTGTTTGCATTGCGGTGTTCGTTCGCAAGTCCACCAGCAGTGCCATGTCTCCCAGAAATTCTTCTTTGCCAAACCAAAAAATGTCCTCTTAATGGTTCCAAGATGCGGTCCAAGGCAAGCCGGATGAGGCCGTACCAGCTGCATGTGTGCCGAAACAAGATAAGTTGGCCTGGGCGGGCGCATTTTCCGAAGCAAGAGGCTGAGTTTGCAGCTCCGGAGCGACCGCAACTGGGCGAGCTTCCTGTTACGCCACTGGAGAGTTTGCCTGCGTCGGACCCTCAAAACACCTTCTTGGTGAATCTACAACATAGAGTGGCACAGCACGCTCCCGTGCGCAGAGACTGCGTGTCACCACGGTGCTTCAACGGCCCCATCCTTGTTGTGCCAAGACCCTAAGAACCCGATAGCACCGGTCGATTTTTTCGAGGGTCGGTCCGGCTTGAATTTGCTGCGCTGACGGAAGGCTATCTGAACCGACGGAGTCAAGCAGGCCGCCGCAACTTAGCACGATGCCGGAACGATGGTGAGCCGTTCATTTTGTTAGACCTATTGCCTACCGCCATGCAGGATTGTCGACGAGAGTTTGCCGGATTTTAGCAGCACAGGCAAGATGCAGCAGCCTTTAGATTGTCTGACGGTTTGACTAGTGCTGTATTTTGTGCATGTTGGCAAGTGTGACAAATGCTTGCCCTGTTGCGATTCTCGTGCATTGCATTGCCAGGGCCACCACCACCAAAGTGTGTCACGGCATTCGCTGCACTGTTCAGGCCATCCGCTCGCACATGCCTCGTCGCATCATCCGCAGTCGACCTCCTGCAAAGGCACATCGTACAAGAACTTCCGGCACAAAGCTCTGCCCGCCGGGGTGCGATTGGACAGGCAATGCTTGTCGAAATACGCTGGAATCCCACGGCGAGACACGCAGACTCAGCATCCATCATCTCCAGGTTGCCAAGAGGCTGGCCGTCCAACTCACACCATCAGACCTCAACGTCTTTCTCCGGGAGGCGCACTCACAATGTCTGCGCCACACAAATTCAGCTGGAACAACACTGCATCGTTGCTGAAACTTCAGGTTCAGCTTGGACTTTTGGACAAGGGAGGGTGCTTGCCTCAGAACACGATTCTCGAAGAACCGACTAGTGCATCCGCGTAAGGATTTCTAGAAGCAAAAGCACGGCCGGACTCCCAGCGTCTGCAAGTGTTCGTTTCCGCTTGACCTTGCTCAATCTGCAAACTCACAGGTGCTTTCAGCACGTTCTTGGAAGAAGCATCAGGAAAAAGCAGAAGGCCGACGCCTAAGCAAAGACAAAATTCAGCCTCGACGTATCTTTGCTGGTTCCATGTCACTGCGCCGCCGTTCAGGCCGCCTGCAGGCTGTTCTTCGCAATGCGCTCGGAAAGACATGGCAGTTCATCACTTGATCGCGCCGAGAAATGTCCCGGAGTCGTATTTAAGGCCGGGAAGACAACGAGAAGCCGAATCCGGTCCAGGCTTCGCACATCACTGGGTTTCATAGCATGTGACTCGTGCGGATAGTCCCGACGCAAGCTAGCGATCTGACCAACCTCTTCGCAAGAGATAGACCGAAATTCTTCTTTCTTTCGATGCAGAATGTCACGAGATGAAAAGCGAGGGGAAGATCTTGACACCTAATTAGGTCATCGTAGATGCGCATGATCAACTTCCAGACCATGCCTCACGTTGATGGGACTTGCCCTGACTTCTGTGTGCGAGCCTTCATGGGCACATCCATCCGGGCAATCGTCTCAGAATCCTACCTGGAAGGTGTTGTGGACTTCGATGAGTTCGCGCAGTCCACCGACTACGAAAAGCGGCTTGCAACACGACAATCTTAGGCAGCGCATGTCTTGCATCGAAGCTCTTGAAGCCACCGGATGAGTGCCTCCCAGTCAAGTCACCTGTCCGACGAGGCGCTGCCTGAAAGAAGTGGTTCACGTTGCGACAACGGCGCGTGACTGGGAGGTCGTGCTCCCTGTGTTTTTTGGTAGTTAGTGACCCTATTCTGTGCTGGAAGGTGACCTGGCAGTGCATGGACTTGGCCTCACTGCCAGACGAGGAAGTTGGCTGAATCTGCCGACAAATACGCGGATGCCGCCCGAAGCCAGGAGCAGAACGATGCAACCTTACTTCTCGTCTTCAGCTCAGTTGCTCGTGTTTTAAGTGAGTGCCTTACTGCTTGCCTGCAAGGCCATCACCTTGCTGACAGCCGCTATGCAGAATGGCAGCACCGACATGATTGCAACACGAATTAGTCGAAAAGGTGGACCTTTTATTCGTTGTGTTTGGGCTTGAGGTGAGGCCCAGCACACGCAAGCCCTGGCAGACTTTGTGAGGCGTTGCCCTGGGCCGACATACACACCACAACATGTAGCTTTTCGACAAGACTGCTTGGGTATGGTGGAGGAGTCACAAAATCAAGCTCCGCATCCTGGAATCTGCTGCTGCTCACTTAGTTTTGGGCGTGGGGCCATGTCTCAAGAGACTGAAAGCTTCTCTGGCTTTCAGGTTCTTGAGGCGGTCACTACCTCAGTGCAAAGAGTGCAGATTCCACGGGGCTGTAAATGGCTCGTGTCAGGTCGGAAGGATTCCAGCGCACGTTCCATTGCCTCCGCGGCTCCCGCAGGCTGAACAGGAAAGCGTGAGCGCGATACATGAGAACATTTGTTGAACAGCAGGTCCTTGCCAGCCTGCTGGCCTACCTGTACCCTTCGCCAATTCGGACAACAGGCGCGGTTGTTCCATGTTGTAGCTGTGAACAAACAGCGTGGCTGCCGACAGTCCTTCAGGCTATGGTTGGCTTCGGCCGGGTTGGCAGCGAACCTGGATGGTGTCGCGGCATCATCTTGATCACAACAGACGCAGAGAGCTACAGGAAGTTCAATGACTGGATGATCTTTGTGGAAAAAGTCTTGGGCAGCTTGAAGGACTCACTCCTAGAGACCAACACAGAACACAAGGGCTGAAGGTTTAAACGAACGGGTCAGGAGATGGAAGCTCTGGCACTTCTCGATGAGACATCTGCGCTGGTGAAGGCACTCTGCTTGGATACAGGCTGACTGTACGGTTCTCTGAAGCTTGGTAGGCTTCGGATTCCTTGAGCAACAAAGAGTCAGGACCTTACAAAGCAGGAGTCGATGCACTGCGTTTTCCTGACTTGAACCCCTGCAGAAGCCAAATTCTCGTCGATGCACTGCTCGAACTCAGGCTCGAGGACTTCTTGGAGAAAGCCAAGCTCGAGTTCCGGGCTGAAGCGAGATCTACCACCGTAGCCTCACAGAGGTAATCTGGATGCGACCACGGTTCAGGTGTGCCCCCATGCCAACAACGCAGATTGTCAGCGCGGAAACGCCACCCTGAGGCTGGCAACTTCTAGGCATTTGCAGTTTATATGTCGAACATTCATGATATGCTTCGGGTGGTGATTCCAACCAGAGGCTTAGATGCTACTGTCCACCCATAGAAGCGTCAGTTGCTCGCAGCACGTTGGCTCTGCAAAACGCACCTACTGGCTACCTAAACAGGTCCGCCCAGTATGTTTTGTGGTGCCTGCTGCACCGGCGAGTCCGAGCTCGTCGTGCAGAGCGACAGCTCAAAAGTGCCAATGACACCCATGGTAGCTGCAATGTCTTCAGGACCAGGTCCGGCCCCCAAAGTTGTGAGAGTTGTTCAACGTCTGACATGGTGTGACATCTTGTGACACGATGGAGCTGAGGTGACGAACGCTTTGTGATGACGCTGCAGGACGTGTCTGCTCTCAAGTCTTTGGACTTGGACCTGTCTGACAACAAGTGCGTGATCTTCGCTTCCTGTGACGGTGCAGCAGCCGAGTGGAACAAGCAGAGCTTGGTGCAGGTGTTTCTTTATGACCGAGTCATCGAGATCAACGGCCAGCCCTGCTTAGCCACCGATCTTGTAGAAAAGAGCAAGTCAGAGGATGTGGGCACCGTGAACCTGACAGTCGAACGGCCACAGAAGCGCCTCCTCTACTTGCAGAAACCGGGGAGGCTAGGCATGGATTTGACGTACACCAAAACCCGAAAGGGCTCAGTCAAGCCGTGGATTACCAACATTTCCGACGGCCTTGTGAATCAGTGGAATGTCAACATGCCAGAGCTTTCCGTTGGCGCACATGATCGCATCATCACAGTGAATGGAAGTGGTGGAACGCCTGCCGACTTGGTGCAGCTCCTCAGCTCCGCAGATGACACCATGCACTTGGAGGTTCTGCACTACAACATCTGAGTGCAAGAAGGTATTGATTTTCCGTAGATCTTCTGTACGACGACGCGATGCCTCAGGCATTGTTTGTAGTGTGTCTCACCGACCCTTCACCTTTCAAGTCTCCTGGGATCCGACAGAACTCGGAAGCGACAGATTAGGCAAAAAGATGCTCGAAATGGACGCGTTGCCCTCTTTCGACCTTCGGTGCCTTGTAGCCCCTGTCCGCAGGACGGCAATGTGGAGAGTGGTCTGACCCCCTGTTTCTGTGTCCAGAGCCACAATGTACAGCGCACCTGGGCGAGAAAGAGTGGGTGAAGTGGGTCTGCTGTCATACCTGACGCAAGCTTGCACACCATCTTGATTTTTTGGCCCAAGGTTGGCACAAAGTTGTCGACGAAGCGTTAGCCTGGTCACAAATACCCATAATTACATACACCGCCGAGCCGGCGATCCTCGGCATGGGTACAGAAGCAGGCCTGAGCGGCCATGACATGTATGTACCTATAGACCAGCCCAGGTGCTGTGAGCATTTCTAGTGCTTGAACTGCCCATATGGTGGCGATGACTGCCGAAGAGCAACTCCGTCAGGAGCCTGGGCTGCGGGCTAAAATCCGACTGCGGTTCCTTGTGCTTTGCAACAGCCGGACCAGTCTGAAACCTCAACTGGCCGCAGAATGCAGAGCCCCAGCCTGTCAACTGCTAGAACCACGCTGGTCTTGAGGAGCTTGAGGCAGCAATAGCAGCGCGGCAGGCTTGCAGAAGGGTTTCAGATTGCGAGATTGAATTTTCAAGTTGTCCCGGGAGGAACTAGAAAGTGCATTGCAGAAGGCGGCCGAATACGGTGCATGCCCTCGAGAAAGCTCGGGCTCTTGCCCTCGGCACCATTGCTAGCTGAGGTCAAGACCTGCTGGCTCAAGTTCAGGACACTCGTCATGTGGCAGCCTGGCAGCAGCTCGTAGTGACTGATAGCAGACCTGTGCTCCACGAGGAGCATGAGCGCACCATCCAAGAGTATCGGGAGAAGGTCTGGCACCGGGCAGGAGGCAGGAGACGGCCAGCCGCTCAATGTGCACTCTGCAGGAGCGGGCTGTGGAGCCAGACTCGTTCAAGAGTCAGGCCGGAAGCATCCAGCCTTGTCCAAATGAACATATTGAGCCGGCAGACATTGTCGGAAGGCACAGCGCCGGCAGCCTGAAGCCTAGACTCCACGTGTATCGAGGTCATCTCAGCCGTGTTCATTTCCCCGAGATCTTACGAACACCTCAAATTCAGTGCTTCTCGCCCCTTCCAGAGCGCATGCTGCCTTTAATCTGGCTTTGACACCGACATCACACGTGTTTTCCCAAAAAAATTCGGAGGTTGGGTTCTCCTTTAGATTTTCCAACCGCGTGGCCACGATACGGGGTGTGGCCAGAATCCCACGCCGCACCCCGTGTCGCCGCCGCGCCGTACCCCATATATCGCGACCTATAGCCCGTATCGCGACCAGCCCGGTGGAAGCCCCGCGCCGGCACCACGGAGGACCCGTTGGACGCCGAAGACTCGGCATGAACGCTTTCATTCCCGCACTGCACCCTGTATCGCCCCGCCCGATGGAAGCCCGCCCCGCGTCACACCCCTAAACGCTCACTTATTCCCGCGGCGCGGCGTGCAGGTGGGTTTCCACCGATTCGAGTCGCGATACGGGCTGGGCCGGCTTCGCGATAGGGGGTGTGGCGCGGGCCGGGGCGTGCAGGGTTCCATTGGAACGTGGGAGAGTAAAGTGTAACGCACTGTCAAGCTCGAGCCGGAGAATCGAGCAGTGGTATCATTTGGTATCGATTCGTGATGCGGCGTTGCATGCCGGCGGGATGGGGGTCGCGAGACAAGGTGCGGCGCGGGGGCCGGGCCGGGGTGACTGACCATTGTCCTGCATTTGAAGAGGACCGCCGGGCCGGCCTCGTCGTATGGCTCTAAGATACCTCCCACGTACGCTACAAACGTTCGTGTCGCTGCTCGCGAGATTTGCTTTGTGGATGGTTTTGGGGTTCCCGGGTTGACCTTGTTTTGTGGAGGCCGCTATAGAAGCACAGTACTAAAACCTCCCGAGGTCTCCGGTGAGTGCAGCTGCAGGGTTCAGTGACAAGCGTTTGGGAAACTCAAGCAGGGTCATGCAGCCACGGCCCGGACTGAAAACAGGCTCCACAACTTTCCAAAGCACAGCGCGGATTTTTTGGTCTTGGGTCGTCAAAAAGGGCGTCGGTGAATTCAACTTGGAATTAGTCGAGCCTGCTCAATCGAAGCACCTGCAAGGTCGACAGCCCGCATGGTGCTCGGATGTGTCGACTGCCTTTGCTGCCCTATTGCTCGTGGCGGTCGGAACGACGTTGCAAGGTCGTGCAAGCACGATCTCCTTCCCTCGAACTCATGTTTCCAGTGGGGACGCGGAAGACAGCGTCACTCGCACCGGCAGCATGCCTCGCAGGGCTGACTCTGTTGACACGCTCAGTTTCAAAGAAGGCTTCTCGCCACTTGCGAACGGCAGGTCGAGTCGGCTTCCTCCCAGGCAGTCCTGACAGCGATGATGAGGATGGGGGCAATGGGGGGATGCGGGATCAACAACAAGGCTGTTGAATGCGAACGGATGCAGGAGCCAAAAGCAAGGCCAGCCAAAGCCGTGCCGCGGCGTGGCCGTGGTGGTCAGACCATGGTGGTAACGTGCTCAGCAATGCTGCTAGGCTGCTTCAAAAGCCTCACAGCTAGCACGCACACGGCGGTGTGAAGGTGGAAGATCTCATGCAGCAAAACCAATCGACGGAGCCTTATCGCCAGTGTCGTGCGACTGGCACGACGACCAGATTGTCGCACGCCGGCACCGAATAAAGCCATCTGACTGTGGCAAAGGCTGGAAGAGGACCTGCGACGGCTGCAGGTTAACTACCAGAAGCTGCAGGAGCGAAGTTACAAGCCATGCCTGCAACGATTGGGATCAAAGACGTGTAGGAGCAAGACGATTCAGAGGAAGACGAAGAGGGTGAAGGCTTGGCGCAACTCTTCAGGTTCGCATGTGAACGTTGATTTCTGAGCCATCATGCAGCCTCAGGATCTGAAAGGAAACCCAAAAGAAAATCCAGGAAATGCAGTTCGATCAGAGATGTCGTCAGATTCCCACACTTGTTGGTGAATTTTCTCGACAAGAACTGCTTGCAATTCGCCAAGGATGAAGTGGTTCCAGACGAAGAAATCTCGGATCCAGATTTACAACAGCAGGCCGATGTCGCCGTCTCAGGTATCTTGACACGGCCTCGTCGGAGCAACATGAACATAGTGAGTGCACACACCGTGTTGAAAACTTACCCCAGCCCGCAGCTCGACATCTCGTAGTACGACTAAGGAGATTGAAGAACTGCGGCAAGCGTTGCGCACAGCACAGAAGGAGGCTGCCAAGCAGCTGCAGACACTGGAAGACTGACACCCAGATCGGTGTATCCTCAACACACGGCGAATCTCAATATTCCCCGCCAACTGCTTTAACAGCTGAGGCAGAAGTAGAGTCAAAAAAGCAGGAGGTGGAAGAACGAAGGGCTGCAGAGCAGGCTTACCCGTTTCCGGGTCCAAGTTTTGTAGCCTTAACCTGGTTGCGCCTCAGGTGGCAAAGTCAAACGCTGCACAAAGCGAAAGCAAGTGCAAGGCCCGCCAGGGCTTGAAGGACAGTGGAGCTTGGAGACCGTGTAGTGTGGAGGTTCTGCAAGAAAGGCTTCAAGTAATGGCGGAGGAAAACGACAAGACGGTCTACAGCCCCAGCAGATGCTAGGAATGTGGCGCGAAAGTCTTTGCGTGTCACAGGGGAATCGCTGGGCCCAAGGAGAGGGAGCTGCAAGTTGCCAAAGCCAAACAGACTTGGCCTCATTCACCGATTTCAGATTTCACCTGGAGGAAACTGAATTTGATTCGAAGCAGGCGGGACTTGACCTTCCAGCTGGAAGAGCAGGCCTTGAGAAACAAGGCTGCCCTGCGTTGAAGCAGCCAAGGTATCGAAGTGTAAGTTTGCCCGCTACTGTAATTTCCCTGCAACGAGGCCAGGAACCAGCGAAAATGGATGCCCACCGCCTGCGAGGAAGCATTACGCCTCCGACTCGGCCCATGCAATTCTAGGTCCCGGAGTTCTGGCTGGCATGTGCAACGATCTGTGAACCTGCCCTGCATCCGCAAGCTCGTCTACTTTTGCCGAGACAGCGCGGCAGAGCGAGCATCTCTGGCGGATGAGCCCGGGAGACCAAGACCGCAAAGCTGGGACTGGCAGTTCGACAGCGTCGGAGACTTTGTTGCCTTTGCCCAGGTTCCAGAACATGGATGAGGAATCTGAGGTCGTAGACGAGCTGCAACCTCAGACAGGAAACTGCCAGCTAGCTTGAAAAGCTGTTTAGTTTCATAGACATCAAACACTGGAACGAAAACCAGCTGAAAATCCACAGAATCATGCTCATCAGCTCAAGTTCGGCCTGACCAGCTTCTGTGAGGGAACAAAACAGTTTCGACTAGTTTGCACGAAAAGCATTGACCAGATCCAAAGAGATGGAGGAGGTGGATGGTGAAGAAGGCACCGTGTCGTGCCAAGTGTGCGTGTTGTCGGTTTCGGGGCAGAGTGGCCGGTTGCGCATCGAGAGGAGATGCGGAGGATGCGGAGGAAGATACGCAGGGCAAGGCAAGCCTGACGCAGTCATCATCGCCAGATACTGTAGCCAGGACGAGCTCCGCTTTAGACGTAGCAAAAGAGCTTGGCAAGTAAAGGAAGGGAATCCACAGCTTCTTCCCTTTCATACCTGTGTGCAGGTCGACGCTTCGATTGAAGTACAAAGCTTGAGAGAGGAGCTCGCAGCAGCGAAGGCAATGGGCCGTTCCCTCTTCGGTTGTCTCGTGGTCCAATGTAGCAGGCTGCATTCGCACTGCGCAAGGCTTCTCCCAAGCTGGAGCATTCCCAACCGCTGTGCCAGGCCGACGCTGAATCTTCCAAGGAGGTTGCCAGTCTTCTCCAACAACAATCCGAGGAAGCCAAGGCATGGGCAAGTGCAGAAGGGCAGCCAATCTCTTGCCCGATGCGCCAGCGAGACCCTTCAACTTGTTGTGGTTGGCACGTGTCGTTCGCGCAAGCTGCGCACGACTGCCGCTTCCTGACCACATTCACATTGCAGAGTTTTCTTGAGGTTCTTGTTGTGTTCTGACGGAGTGGTCCAGTTGTTATGAAGCCTGATCCCAGCCAGGATATCGCGACGTCTCGAGTTTTTCTGCCCCATGACCATAACTCAGCACGCTGATGCCTCACACGAAGATAGCGAAGACTCTACATGTGCAATTTTTTAAACTTGTACATATAAATATACACATGCACACACACACACACATACACCTATCATGCATGCACATGTAAATATAGTTGTTCATGTAGTCTTCTGTTCACTCACACAAAATCTCACACAACGAGAGACTGATACCGAGAATGTTGCGTGAAACTGAAGACCTTCTTAGTCTCTCTCTTTGACTCTGGGCATGATGGTGAAGTCAAGCTGTGCCGTAGGATGATGTGCCACTTCTTGGGGCTGACAGGATGCAGCGGCCAAGCAGATACAAGCCCTGCAAGAGCAGCTCGCCGCAGCGAAGGCAGTGCTGGGGACTTGTGATACGGCCTACTCTCGCTCCTGCTTGCAAGCAGGGTCGAATCATCCGAGAAGGGAGTCCAAATTGCCTTGTACATGACACAAATAGCTTCGGAAGTAGCTAACAGGTAAACTTCTCGCCATACGTCACAAGAGGTGATCCCCTCATTTCATCATTGCAGACAGATTGCATATGCGATCACAGAGCTGTGAGGCAAATCCTTCTGCAACAAAGATCCATCCACATCCTTGGTTCCTGCATTTCCTGCTGCATCCAACTGAATTGGGGAGACTTCGAAGGTCCCGACACAGCGCTACCCAAACCTACCCTAACATGGGAGTTTGGCCTTCTGGCACCGAGCATCCGCTCGGCCGGAGCCATGCACATGGTCGCTCGTCCCGTGGTAGATCCATGCCTGCGCAGCTCGAGCCACCCTTTGCGGAAGCCGATGTTGACTCTTCCAAGCAGGCTGCCGAACATCGTCAGCAACAAGCCGAAGATGCTGAGGCATAGTGTAGGAAAATCTTTCCAGCAGCATATCGGTCGGGAGCCGCTGGGGCGGCTCCAGCTGCAGACCGCAAGTGCATGCCATAAGCATCAAGCGGTCAACCCCGTAAAGGTATCTAGATCAGTGCAGGAGTGCTGACAGGTTGTTGTTCACTCACAGGTGGCAGCATCCCGACTGACGCACTGCCTACAAGAAGAGCTCGCAGCAGCGAAGGCAAGTTGCAAAAGCCTTGGTGTGTGGCGTGGTTTTCGATGGAGCATGCGCTCGGACTCGTTCGTGACTTCGGCACCTCTTCGCAACAAACAGCCTGCCGACCGTAACAGGCAGGAAGGGATTGAGGTGTAGTCGGTTAAGTGCTGTGTAGACTTCTGTAAGCAGGATTTGGCAGCGACCGGAAGCCTAAAGCCGATCTCTTGAATGTTTCAGCTTGCCGAATGCTATACAGCTGCTTCGCAGACGTGCAGGTGGTCCTTGCGCAAGCCGAAGCAACCAAGGCCGCCCACGATGTTGTTGACACTGAAGCAGCAAGCCGAAGGCCCATGCAAGCCCTTTGTCGGAGGCTGACAGCTCCAGAGAGGTTCTCCAAACGGCCAAGGCGGCCAAGGCAAGGGGCATCGGAGCATCTCTTCGGCCGACTTTTGCTGCGCAGTGGCCCAGGATGTGCAGGCCACGGCTGCACGAGACATCAGAGCTGCAGCGGCCGAACTTTCAGAGCTGCGCATGCACGTGGAAGCCGTCCAGGCCACGGAATGTAGGATGGCATAGGCATGCGACGTTTGGGCTCTATTCATTCCGGGAAGGCAAGTCAGAAGCAGGAGGCTGAAGCTCAGAGGAATCAGCTGGTGGAGTTGAAGGAGAGTCGTTGGTTTCAGAACAGTTTTGAAGTCACGTTGCTACTTGCCTACTCGGTTTGCACACGTGATGTGTCTCGCACGCTTCGTTGAAGCCGAACATGTTCACTGATCGGCAGTTCATTCACGCGCCTGCTACGCAAATATAAGTTCCCATACTCGTAGAAACAACTTACACATCGGCCCGAGGGACCAGCATTCACCGGATTGCAGATGACCCAGGAAACTAAGAAGAACGCAGGCCAACGTGTAGTCTGTGTAGTAACTACTGCTGACCCCGGCTCCAAGTTCTTCAGATGTCATGCATATAAACCACAGGCTCCAAAACAGAGCCCATCGTAACAGCGCAAGGGACCAGATCGCCAAGCCAATATGCACAAGTCAGCGGCATGGGAGCGTTTGCAAGAGGAGCTCGAAGCAGCCAAGCAGAAGGCAAGCCGCATTGCCTCAGCATGCTGCTGTGGCCTGGAGCAGCTTCAGGATATCGAGAAGCAGCTGCAGTCAGCAAAGGCAGTGCCGAGCTCTCACTGCGCGCATGTGATGCCTGCTTCTCGCAGCAACGCAGGACCGAGCAGAAATAGCTCGGCACTCGGAGCCCTCACACGATGTCGTGGATGCTTATCCTCGGTGCCTGCTGGCACCTATAGCCTCCTACCATTGCAAGGTCATGGCAGAGAATGCCACGCTCAGGCGAGAGGTCAATGCCCTTCGGGAGGCATCGCCTGCTCTGCAACACAGGCGGGGCGCACCAGCACACTCCACTTTTTTATCAGCGTCATACCATGACCTGTGGACGGGGCGCGAGTGCACGGGAGGGGGGGCTGGCCCGATAGGAAGGAGGGAGGCAGGGAAAGAAGGAAGGAGTCAAGGAAGAGAAAAGGATATTGCCCTGCACGGGGCCCTGTGTGCGACTTAGTCTTAGTCGTGTGTCCACACACACAAGGGTATTTGAAGTGCGGGGCGCACGAACCAATGGATATCTACCATGGCTCATTGCACCCACTGCATGTCACACAGACGAGACTCTACGAACCATGAGGCAGGGCAGTCACATGCACATCGGAAGGAAGGAACGAGAAGTATGCATGCAGGGTACAACTGGTGACACTCGTTCCAGTTCCTTGCAATGTAATCAGACCCAAGGGGAATGAAGAAGTCAGTTTGGTTGCACATCCCTTGTCTTTGATTTTGGCATAGTGTGGCCCAAGGCTGTCCCGTTGATGTATGCATCGCTTGGCCTTTCTAGTTGACGGCGCCAGCACAACAGCCCTCAACGATTTAAAGTTTCAAGTCAATTTCCTCAACACATAACATCACGTAACAGACACAAGCCGAAACAGGGAGCCGACGATTGCTTTCGTGCTGCTACAATGTCAACTGGCTTTGCTTGTCCTGTTCGTGTAATTATGCATCCAGTCGGAGCCTGTATGCGCGCCACCAGAGTCGTGCCTTGGGTAGGCTACCGCGGTGTTGGAGGGTGGCACTTCTCCCGTCTACCTAGATTGCTGTTGCATTGCCTTGGGAATGGTGCCCGGTGCCCTGCCAAGCACGCGTAATCTTCTGCTTTACCTACCCCCTCCATCTACCCGAAACACCTACTATTGCCGGCAATATGGCCTTATTTCAAGGTACGGAAAAGTCCTGCTAGAGCACAGAAGTCAGGCGCAGCGACAAGGCAATGCACGGTGATTTTTAGCTTGCAATGCAATGACAGCCCAGCCTAAGTCTGTAAACAAAAAAGTGGCTGTTCTGTACAGTGCGAGTTGAAAGACCCCAGCCCCTATCCACTCATGACACTATCAGGGCAGGGTGGCACTCGACTCGCGGGTCTGACGAGAGTCAGACTGATCCCCTGCGGAAAGCAGACAAACCTAAGAGAAGGCATGAGAAAACGGATTTCCCCCTTGCAACCAACACCTTTGTAGGCGCACGTTCCCGAGAAAGTTGGGTCCTTTCAGGAACTCTCCCTTTCTAAGCCTACTTACAAAAAAAAAGGCTGCGAGAGATCGGAAAAAGAAGATGCCGCCCGAGTTCTTGTGCTTGGGCTTTCCCACGCTGCGAGGCAAGAACCAGAAGAAACGTTCTGGGACCGAGTCATGGCATCGATTGCCTGCCATGCTCTCGGGCAAGAAACCATGTGTTGAGTTCAGCCATTGCAACACGTGCTTTTCGTGTACTAGAGGTGCTCGCACTACAGCAAAGCCCACTTCTCCCTCAAGTAACGGTCGTGCTCAGTCCGGCGAAGCCCACCCAGAGATGCTGGGCTGCAAATGCATCCTCGACAGTCAAAGCATGGTTAAAGTGCGAGTTGCATGCTGAACGCTCGAGGCCAATACGGCTCTCGATGCCGGTTGCCGATGGTCACTGATGTCTGAGCCTGTCGTGGTGGATGCGGATGATTGCAATACAATGGCGTAGGAAGACGTATGCCTCCGAATTCTGTCTGGCCAAACCTCATCCAGCCAGCTTCGCTCGCGCAATAGGCTTGTGCAGCGCTGGGGCAGTTTAACACTTGCGTGGAGCTGTAACAGTACAACTTTGTGTAGCTGTCGTCGATATGCGGCTGCTGGTTACCAGCAAAGACCGCACACAGTGCCGACCGTGAGGTTCAGCAGACCCGAGAAAAACCTGCAGTCTTTGGCTGCTTTAGCCCTTCTGCTTTCATCTGCAGTGCAGTCCTGCAGAGGCCAACTCATCGCTCAGCAGGCCTCTACGAATCATGGCATGGTGCGAATGCACGCTCTTCAGAGCAGCTGGTAGCAACACCTCCCATCTGATACATTATGATACATTCCACATGTAAATCGTGAGCAAGATCCGAGCCTGTGTAGGTCTCTTCATCTCGGCAAAATGCTGGGATTCCGCATATAGCCATGGCTTGGGCTGCTTCAATCGCTCCCCTGGCCGGTGCAGTCGCGGTGGAGAGACGAGGCAGAACTGATCGCACAGAGAAGGACGCTTCCCTCGCGCTCTTTGATTCTGCTCGTGCCAAGCTCGCTGTGCAGACTATTCCAGGCTTGCAATCGCAGCTTGTTTGCCCCGGGGACGTCGTGTCCGCAGAGCCCGGCGCTTTACGTGGGCGTGGGGTAGTAGAGCGGCATGACGGCAAGCTGGTTGCGACGACCTGTGGCGTCGTGGAGCATGTGAACAAGCTCCTGTATGTTCGGCCACTGAAGCATAGATACTCCGGCAGCGTGGGGGATGTGGTGGTAGGGCGCATTGTCGAGGTGCAGACGGATAGATGGGCCGTTGAAATTGGTACTGCTCAGCTGGCATACCTTCACTTGGGGGCTATTCAACTGCCTGGCAATGTGCAACGTCGCCGCACGGACGAAGACACTCTGCGCATGCGGGAGTTCTTCGATGAAAACGATCTCATATCAGCAGAAGTGCAAAAGATCCACGAGTCTGGTGAACTGGCGCTGCAGACTCGCAATGCTAGGTATGGAAAGCTCCAGAATGGCGTGCTTGCCTCTGTGCCATCGGTGTACGTGCGGCGCCAGGCACAGCATCTGGTCACGCTACCACGCATTGGCGTCATGGTGGTTCTGGGCAACAACGGCTGGGTTTGGGTTTGTGCTCCGCCTAAGGTGGCTGGCTCCGGAAGGCAGGAGACCATCAACTTTTCCCAGATGGATGTGCGCTATCACAAGGTAAATCCTGACATGAGACTTGGCATTCTAGTGATACGCTGCTTGCACAAAGCAACTCGCACCTCTTTCGTCCCAAATCGTTTGTTGAAACTTGACAAGGAGAGAGAGGATATCCAGGGTCCGAAATGCGGTGATTTGCTTGGTCGGCCATGGCCTGGAAGTAACGCCTGAAAGCATCACCTTCCTGTACGAACAGTTTCGACCTCGGTCACATCACATGGAGTTGATTGCATTCCCAAGAGGCGACTGGGTGGTTTTGGCAGCTTGTCACCTGAGGTCCGAGAAGCTCGAGCTTGCGGCATGGGAGCTGCTAGATGCTGCACGCTGCGACTCCGCGGGCCTCGTCGAGTGCCTCGCGACCGAGGCGATGCGCAGCAGCGGCAGGAATTGACCTGCCACTGCAGTATCTCAGGTCTTCGCAGTGCTTGACCCTGATGAACGATGATGCACAGCACGTATGTCTGAGAGGGTGCAGCGAGTCTGAGAGGGTGCAGCGAGAGCCTTTGGCTATGTTCGCTAGTGCTCTGACTTGTCGTCTATAGCTTACACTAGTTTCCTACCACTTGCAGCCATGACGTCAGCCGTTCCATGGATGTGCTTCGCCGCCTCTTCGGTTCTGAAGAAACATATTCTTTGGGAGTGACAGAGTGGTTAGTGGTCGCCTGGAAAACCAGGCCGTCAGTCCGGAGCCTCCTCCCAACTTGTCAGCCTGACGTTTTCCCGTCAAGGTCATGGCGCCATGGCTGGCATGCTGTCCTCCGTGCGCCGATCATCATTCTTGCCTGCTCCTCAGAAGCGAATCAAGCTTTTCAAGCACACCGACAAAATGCCAGGATAGACGGTCGTAAAACAAAAGCTTTTGACATTGGCACATCCACGGTCAGGAAGGGTGCCTTGTAGCGGACATCTTCCGCAGCCTAGTTGGAGATGTGCTGTAAGGTTACACTCCGGGACGGAACAAGATCCGGAGAGCCCCTCCAGCGGAGGCGTGAGTCACACTTCGTGCCTTTGTTTCCGTGTTCTTGCCCACAGGGCCCACTCCACATGCTCAAGACTGTTTCTTGATCTTTGTGCTGGCATGGTGTCAGGTACTGTAGAGTCAGAGTTCGCCCATTCTTCATGTTTGCCAAGCAAGAGAAGCACATCGCAGGAGTTGGAGGAATGCTCTCCAGGGTGCGAAGGGCATCGATAGCGCTTGAATCTGAGCTTCTGAAACACATCAGATCGAGAGCCATCGGGTTTCGATTGAAACTCGCAAACAGCACTCGCAGTCACCCAATGCTGTGGCAGATCGAGCTGAGGCCGGTCGCGGTGCTGCAGGAGCAGTCCAGCCGGGACCTCGGAACCTATTAGCATTTCGTGACCATGTTGACGTGTCACCGCCTGTCCCATGAAAGGTCGGGTTGGAGGAATGTTCTCGAACCTCCGTCGGGCATCGTTTATGCTCGGTCCTGAAGCACGTATGGAACCTCGGGGCCTACTGCAGTTGAGACCAGGTCACTCGGCGGGCTCCGAAAAGATAGAGGACTGCGACACACAACGCAGGGTTTCCAGTTTCCACCTGAACTCGGGTCTATGACTTCGCATGAGGTCACAACTTGGGAGACTTCTCGGCAGTCGCGTAGACACAATTTCGAAGTAGATGTGCTAAAGGAGTTGTCCTCCCTCCACTGGAGAGGCGGAAATCGCGACGGAAGGAGGGGCGGAAGATGTGGCATGTAAAACTTCTGCTTGTTCTGCATGGCATACTGGCGCCTGCCATTCTAGCATGTCATGGCAGGTAGGTCGAATCTGTGCTCTCAACGTGTAGGCATAGAGCATGAACTTGAACAATTGACAGTGCAGCATGGCAGCTGGCAGTTCAGCCACGCATCTACCTTCACAGTTCCAGCGGAAAATCGACGTCGTCGCAGTCCATTGTTGCTTCGGGGTGCAGGTCACTGGAAAGAAAGCTTCCATGAAAAGAGCGGCAGTCTCAGCATCCTCAGACAAGCGGAAAAAGAAAGATGATGAACACGTTTCGGAGGGCACGACTCGCGAGCTTCACGTTAGTTGGCTATAGGATTTCTCGTGTGCCCCCGCAGTCAGGCACAGACACCTGTCCTGATGGAGCCACACGTCGAGCATACGAGCTTGTTGCTTCAGCATGCAGTTTACAGAGGTGTCGGCCTCAACCTTTGTTGGCAAGCACAGTTTTCAGTCGACTTATCTGATACATAATAATACATGACAATTGACGAGAGTGTCAAGTGCAGGAGACGATCCTTTCAAGAACTTAAACAGCGTGTGGCTGGGTGGCGGTGACAAAGGTGAGTTGAAGGAGGCCCGTGGTCACGCAGCATACACCCTTGCTGCTCTAGTGGCTCCCTTTTTCCGCCACGGGGCAGGATGATTCGGATGAAGAAGATGCGATGGCCCCTGGGGATTGGGTGTAAGCGGCCACCCTCATGAACATGTGAGTCGCATAGACGCGGGAGCCTCAAGGAAAACTTGGAAGACATGACGGACGAAAGGCGAGAGGCCGAACTTCCGATAGCCTGTAGCATTTCGTGGCTCTGACGCAATCGGTATCAGTCTTGGAAGGAGCTCCAAGAAAAGGCTGCCAAAAAAGCAGCCAAGGAAAAGTTTCTAGAGGCTCGACCTCCCTCTGCAAGCTGTATGCTCGTGGCAGTATGTGCCGGTCATGAAGACATCCCAACCGAAGAAGAGATGCGGGTGGGCCAACCAAGCGCATTGACATGTTCGGCTGGGTCAGTTCTGTGAATCCAGAGCTGCAGGCTGGCTGCAGGTCTAGGTCTCGGTAGATTCCAGGCGTCCAAAGAGGTGACGACAAGCCTGAAAAAGTGTACTCGTGCGACTTGTGGTGAGGTTGATATGGTCAACCTCACTGTGCTAACAAGTTCATACAAGTTCTGAAGTCCATGACAGCACAAACGTTCAAAGCAAACGAATGCTGTCGAACTGTCAGGATGAAGAAGCGCGGATTCGGCAGCTGAGGAGCACCGCACTGGGTGAGAGGCTTTGTTTATTGGGCAATCATTCGCTCGTTTTCTTGGTGCGCAGATGTGTGCTGAAGCACAAACTTGGGCCTACACTGACAAGACTTGCCTTCAAGGTCATTTGACCTGGCTGCGAGGCCACAACCTAGGCCGGGCCATAGGCAGGCCGTGAGGTGCCGTGAGAAACTGGGAAGTGAAGTCGGGTTTTAAGGTGCTGACCTGGTGCCCACTTGGAAGGCCGCTGGCCTGTCCTGGCATGGCCCATTCAGTGCCGGGAATGCCCATTCCTTTGCTTGCAAAGGTCTTGAAGATCAAGTCGGAAGAGTTGCAGACAAAAAACAGGTTGAGAGGCATCTTCCTTGCTGCATGGGTGCCCGTGTGGCGGGGAGCGGGGAGAGCTTCCTTCTTTTCAGCTTGTCAGGGCCTACACGGATTGGAGGCGACCTTTGGCAGCGACCTTTGTCCATTGCCTTTGACGCGGGACGCCCCGGCTTGAGAATGCCGAGGTACAAGGCTTTTACTCCAAACAGCCAGAAGGAGCTCCACAAAAGCGACGGCGGTCTGTCCCCCCACCAATTATGACACGCATGCAAGCCCTGCCCGTGAAGGACTGGTGCTGGAAAGGTAGTTTTGTGAACGAGGCAGAAGACACTCACGGAGCTTTGCGCTAACTGGAAGCTTTCTGTGGCCAGGTTCGCTTCCTTGCTGAGAGCCGGGGTCCAGGAACAGGGGAGAGCCGCATCTCAAACATCTTCACACGCCGTCGTGTGGATGCATTGCCAAGAGGTCAGAACATGCCGCTGGCATGGCTGAATATCAAGACTGCCCAAAGCCTTTTCCGGCAAGACCCTAGCTTTGAGCAGGCGCGAACCACGAGACCTCTCAAGCGAGAGTGGAGTGCTGGCCTGCATGCGTGCACAATCTCCAGGCCGTAGCATACCACGTAGTCGCGGTCTCCACGGATCGCAGCCGTTACTTGTGGAGTGCGGCGCCTCAGTCGCTAGAGCGACTTGTGTGGGGCGGCACAAGGAGGGCAGGCAAAGCCAGATAAATGGATATGCCTGGTGCTTGGATCCAGGCCATGCATTCGTGCAGCTCCTCACTGTCCTCCAAGAGGAGCAAAAGTTTGAGTATGGACGTGCCGAGGGCTTAGTTCAGCTGTTTCGTGGTTTGCCAGCCTTGATGCAACGGCAGTCTAGCTGGTGGCCTGTTCAAAGGAGATCTTTCGGTACCCTCAGCGAGTAGGCTGCCTTTGTCATCCGGCTTTTTGCGAGGTGTGTCTTTCTCCGGAAGACATGGCAAAGAGGTACCCGCAGGACGGCTTTCGGCAACCGTGAGAGAGAATGTGCTGAGAAGACCGAAGACAGCTTTTCAGCAACAGTCGTGACCTTTCGATTGCAACGGGGTGCAAGGCACGGTTTCCGACTCCTGGAAAATATGAAGTGGTCAAATCCAACGAGGATCCGAGCTTAGCGGGGAGTTGCAGGCATGATTGGAAACGAAATGCTTGCATAGTTGTCTTTGTGCATGTTTGGACAGCTCTGTTTCGGTGGGTTTTTGTATTGTTGGAAATGAGGGGATAGAGACGAAAACTGCAAAGGCACAACCCAACTTGGTTCGAAATTCGGTTCTCATCGGCCGCCCGCACCTTTTGACTGGTTCCGCGCACTGAGATGTGAGCAGGCGGCGGCGTAGCTGCTGCTACATTAAACACTTTGGCAAATGTAGCAGAGCAGCTAGTATCTGTCGCGATTCCCAACAGAGCTGGTGGTAGTAGAGGTTGTAGCGGCCATCCTCAAAATTGTTGACGGAATCTTGTCAAAAATGATCGGATGGCCCGCTGCGAAAGTTTCCATATTTACAGCTAAGATTGCAGCTCTTCGCCTGTTTGCCCCACAACATCTGCTTCAAGTCGTATCTTGGAAATGTGTTCAACACGTATGGACGCTCCCTCGGTATTTGGTTGGATTTGCAGCGGAATTGGATTGCGGTGCACCGACAAGGCTTGGATCCCTGTTGCCCGATGACAACCATGTCCTCAATGGATACCTGTGGGTAAAGGACCCGGAACTGTGCACTTCAACCCCGATAGGACATATTATCTTCCATCAGGTTGGGTAATCACGTGGCGAGACTCGCCCAGCATCCAAGTCTAGCGAAAAGTGCTTTAGTGGAGTTGAGCCCCAACACCACCGCAGGTATACATGGTATAGAGGAAAGGTGTTGTTGTTTGTCTGTGGGATTGAGTATCGGACGCCCAATGTTGTTTTTCTATTTTTAGTGTTGGGCAGTGACGGCAGCATGACTGAGCGCGACGCCTGCCCAACACCCAAGTCCTGGCATAGTGCCCAAAGCGGCAGAGAAATGAAACAAACAAGAACATTTCCTGCAGATGTTGGTGCTTGGCAGTCTCGCCATCATGGTCGCAGAGCAGACTTGGCCGTTTGGCAATCTGGCCCCGCCATGGCCCATCCAATACCCAAGCCCAAAACGTTGCGAAACCCGAAACGTTTCCGGTAGATGTGGTTGCTTGGCAGTCTCGGCACGTCATGGTTTATCCAATGCCCAACGCCCCACGCTGATCCCCACATAACTGCAACGTTGCTTTCCAGACCTGGTAAAAGCTTAGCGTTGGGTGCCGCGCAGTTTCGTCACCTTTTCCCAGTCCTGCTTTAGGTCATGGGGCCTCCGCTGCCACATGCTTAACCTATAGACAAGACTTGGTTGGTAGTCTGTTTCACAAAAAATGGCTTCCCGATACTTGCATGTTGGGGGGGGCAGCCTTGGGGATGTCCCATACCCTCTGCGCACGGAGATATTGAAGCCTGAGCAGCAAGATCCTGAACAGAGCCGTGGCTGAATCCGAACCCGGACACGACCAAGACCGAGCCAGAACTGAAACGGTATCGGAAACAAGCCGGAATGGAACTGAAGCTGAATCGGAATTGAGGGTTTGATAGGAGCCAGACCGGAACCGAATCAGACCGACGGAAACCGAATCGGATCCGACACAATCGGAACTGAACGAATTCGAGACCGGAGGAGTGGAACCGAAATTGGCGGAGCCGGAACCCAACCGAAAAAAAGGTAACCAAAGGGCACGACCTCGACATCACACCCATGGTTTTGGGATCTCCGGGCCCTGGGAGAATTGATTCTACCTATGGGGATCTAGTGAGCAAATGTGCCTGCAAAGCCCGGCTTCACGAGGCAGCTTGAGGGCACAACAGTACAAACCTAACCAGGTTGAAGTATGATATGGGAAGCTCTTTCTGAGAGGAGAGAGGAAGGGTTGCAAGTTGCCCTAAGGCCGTCACGATTCCCGTTCCTCCACTGCTCACGCGCAGCAAGCTGGACCTGCTTACATGAAGTGATACTCCAGCCCTTCATGCACAACCACGACAGGCATTGGGAAATCCGCGAGAGGGGCTCCGCCTGCAGAGGGCTCAGCTGCGACGTCTAAAGATGGTAGCAACGAGCAAAGCACTGAGGAGCCGCCGCCTCTTCCAGAAAGACTCCCGCAGCATACCCAGCTAGCAAGGATGCGTCGCTCGCAGTGCCGTGTGCCTCCAGGTGCCCCGTCGCGTATGAGATAACAGAGCCTTGGATGGGCCTGGAACCCAGGGAGTAGCTAAAAATTGCATCCGACAGAGGGGATAGCCAAGAGCAGGCAGCATCGTTGCCCCAAGGCATCTTCGCCACGCAAGCCGAGAAGAAGAATGTCATGACCAACTTCCAAAGCAGGATATCCTCAACGCAGATCATGGGATCCTTGACAAGGTTGAAACAACAGAGTTCCCTTGACATGAGCTTCCCAACTTCTCTCCACAACTTATCAACGACACCCAAGTTGACTAAGCCTCGTTGCCCGAATTGCTAGCGTGATCTAGTCCGAGGTGCTGCTGAGCCTTCGGGACATTGATACGCAAAGTCACACAAAGAAATCAAACACTCGAAGTATTTACACGATGCCACGCATAAGCCCAAACCACAAGACATTGCCTGCAGCTTGGCATGTCCTGGGGTGCTTTTTCTAAGCAAACGATGCTTAGCGATCCTCAAATCACAGCCTCATTGCCACACTATCACTAGCACAGCAGCCGGAGGTGAGCGGATTGAATACTATGTTCGCAGCTGGCAAGCCCTACTTTAATGCTCATAGCACAGGGTGAAAGGAGAGTGATGGCTGATTAGATTGGTGGTTCTTCAGTAGGATGCAAACAAGTGACCCAAAGTCGCGAGGCCTTAGGCCTCTACCTGCATGATTCCATATGCTAAGGTTTTCTGAAAGATGAGATGATAAGTAGCTCTTGCCAGTCATGCACCAGTCAGTCGATCATGTAAGTCGCGTCAAGGCTGTAATCACATCCACTCGGTCCGATCGTGCATATTCCGCCACGTTAGCTGCAGTGACTCGTGCATGTTCCTTTGCAGGACCTCGACCTACAAATCACTTGCACCTGGCAGAAGTGAAGAGTTTGAAGGCACCGAAGACGGAGAAGAAGCCAACGAGCAAGCTGAAGAAGAAGAACTTGAAAGCGACGAGGAGGTCGAGAATTCCGACGAAGAGACCGGCCCAGCTGGCTTCAACATGACCGGTTACGGAAGGGGAAATGCTGAAGAGCAAGAGGAGGGAAGTGAAAGTTTCGAGGGCAGTGAAAACGAGGACCCTGGAGTCCCTGGAGATGAGCAGGTGCAGGATGAAGACGAAGGGTTTGAGGAAGCATCGGCCTTTGAAGCAGATGCTTCGCCTGCAGATATGGAACAAGACGTGGACCAGGCGGGATCCAAACAAGTCCTGGCAACACGAGCGCACCCCTACTTTGCACTGCTGCCAGTTCGGTGAAGACGAGGAAATACAGCCGTCACGCTCCAAGGCTCACATGCCATTTGACCGGCATGCCTTTGGCAAGTTGGTACTTCTGGCAAGCTTGCGCTGCGGTGAAAGGATTGGCATCAAGCGCACCTGGTACTGTGTTAAGCAACTCGTGCAGGTTTCTGCAGGCCACCCCGACTCTGGCGAAGCATCACAAGAAGTGGCCGATCCCTAAGATGGTGTCACGGTCATGGAACGTGCAGGGGTGCCACAAGCAGAACACACGAAACTGCCCTGCAACTTCCTCTTGTCAGCACATGATGTCCTATTCTGACCTTCCCTCTCCTTCGTGTAAGTAGGTGAGCTTATGGGCATTTGCAAACACACAAACACACACATCCGTTTGTTCGCATGTTATGTTGAAAGGAGACCTATTGGATCCTTTTGGTATACAGCTTGGAAATCTTGTGCGCACATGATCTGTTTTCGATCCAGATGGATCTAGCAGGTTGCGGTCTTCGAGCGCGATCCGAAGGTTCCAAGTCACAAGGCAAACTTTCACTTCTGGCTCACGGTCCAAAGCCACCATTGCTGCTCTCACTTCCGGCGGCCTGGTCCAAATCCATGTTTGCTTCTTGGGTTGTGGGTGAAACCGGGACCCAAACACCACGCCCGCTGCTTTCGCTTCCGGTAAATGCTTCGCATGGTCCGCATCAGCCTGGTGGTGGTGGAGGTGGAGGTGGCCGGCGGCCACCCGCAAAAAAGGATCCGCATGTGTACACTTCGCAGCCTTAGACTCGTCAACATCATCTACTTCGGAGTGTGAAGACGCATGAAAGACGTTGGCAGCCATTTTGCTGGAGCATGAGGGATTTATCTACACGTCAAGCCTTCAATGCTTGCGCTGAATCCCGTTAGAAAGTCTTTCCCTCACGATTAAGAATCTTGACCGGGCTGCTGGCTCAAAGCTTTCTTGGCAGTGGTAGCAAGCAGTTGTTTTCGGTTCGCTTTTACACTCCGTGTCAGCTGAATGCCTGCGACATCCTTGCGACGAGAATTCAATCCCTCCCCTGCAACTGGGGCGATGTGCTGAAACACAGGCGAGCACGTAGTTGAAGCAGCATCGACGGTATAGTGAGCAGGTCAGGACCAGGTTCCGACCTTCGGCTTGAAGCAAATCGTTGTACTGAGCTGGTCCTGTCTCGATTTCTTTGCTTCATCTTCTGTGAATGATTAAGGCCCGGCGAGGGTCTCGGCGCCAGTCCAAGGAATGAGGTTCGTCATGCCCACATGAGGCCGAAAGCCCTTCCTGCCCAATTACCACCGCGAAGTCACAGGCCAACATGTAAGTTATGCTTCAAGACCACTTCGGGCTGTGGGCCGTCCAGTTTCACTTGTTTCTTTCAGTTCAACCTGCTGTTCGCAGAACAGCTTCAAACACGTTTCACCTTTAGTGTCTGCACCGGCGCCGGCGCAAGGTACAAATAAAAAGGCAATTAGGAGGAAGCTAGCACACGATCAGGTCCTTGGAACTGCATTTTTGTCGAGTTTTGTTAGGCTGACTCGTGACGAGATCAGGTCCTATAAAGTTTCGCAATTCATTTCGTTAAGCGGCTGGGCAAATATTCGGTATGCCAAAGGCTCGGTTGTAGCAAGCTTGGATTGGGTACCGAAGCTCCGTCCGTGTATCTCGTAAGTTTGGGTTTGGTTGGGTTGATGAGGTGGGATGGGTTGTCGGTCTATCTGGGTCATTGGAGTTTTGCATGGCTTATCGGTTAGGCTACGGTTAGGGTGTTGAAGGTGAGCCGACGAGCCATGATCGTGACCTTTTCGCACCTGGCCCCATGAAATTTTGGCTTCTGGCGTGTAGGAATTCGTGTAGTGGTTGGGAATGTCTTGGGCGGCCTGCTCTGGACTTGGTCGATAGCAAGTTGGATGTCGCGTGATGCGATGCGACTTCCATCTCCTCGTCACAAGTACGCAGTGGGCAATTGGTTCCCCATCCCATGCCACGAGGCAACAGAAGCCGCGGAAGCCAGCAGAGGGCACTGAGGCCACGTATTTCGATCCAAGTACAAGAAGCATGTAAGAAGTCCTGCACGTGGCAGCAGAGGTACCGGGCTGCCGGACGGCTGGGAGGACACTCTCCAGACCTCCTTACAGCACCCTTGTTGCAGTTAATCACCACCGATCAACTCCGATGCTGAGCCCTGCATGTTTGCACATACTGTGCACTTGGCTCGCAAAGCAGTGAGCTACCAACCGCAACCCTTCAAGACCATGCTCTCCGCTACACGGAGGCCCTCGAAGCCCTGCAACACTGCCAGGACACATGCGGGTAACTGGGAGATGAATTCTTGCTTGTGCCCAGCTGATCGGTGCAAGGATGTCCGAGGTCATCTTGCTGACCTTTTGACCGGCATCAGGACAACACCGAAGCTTGCTTCGAACTCGGAGCGAATGCAGCACTGCAGTAACAAAGGCAGTGGGATGACCCCAGCAGATACAGACGCTGCACGCATACTCGCTTGAGGCTTGGAGGCTGGCAGCCGCAGATGGAGTTCTCCGGATTGCAGCTGTTGCCGTGCATGGCTTGGAAGTCACCTTGTTAAGACGTCGCAGCTTCGTCACTGCGTGACCAGATTGTGGGGGGGGGGTGAGAGGCGAAGGACGCCGGAGACTTCCCTATCCAGCTTTATGCCAGCAGCCCGGCATGATTCAATTCTAAGGCAGCATACTGCAAGCAACTTGCGACAAGGCTTTGCATGTCTTGGCGGCGCTGATCCGGCAACACCATGTCTCTGATGGCAGCAATGCTACCTTTGCAGGCTCGGACTAATGACCCTGAAGATGCACCGTGCCAATCAAGATCTTGTTTTCTGGACTTCTTCTTGGTAGGGCTGATTTAAGTGCACTGCCTGGAGAAACCTGTCGTGTCGGGACTGGTGGAAAAGGATTTCGGTTAGCAGGCCACCTTAATTGAATATTGTCCTTGTTTGCAATCATACTCGTTTCAATTTGTTGGGGGAAGGAAGCACGAAAATCAGCAAGGAAGGTAAGCATTGGCCCTTGGATTATGGGTGGTTCCTTGGCTGGCCACGGTTGTGGATGTCTTTACTAGCACCGGCTTGTGACAACAGTTCGCCGACTTTGCCCGAGATCCTGACAGCAGCTGCTGGCTGACGAAGTGTCAACCCCAAATGGATGTTTTGGTCTAGATGACCTGATGTCTTTGGTGCACAGATATCCTGGGCTGTCTTGCCTGCTTTGCTTGCATGCTGCGCTGACTGGGAAGATCACGTACAGCACACAGGTTTTACCGGGTGCCGAACCGTTAATGGGCATGCGCTGTGACGTCTTTGCTGTGCCAGACGTCACTCCGAGCCGACCCTGTGAACCGAGAGACCTCATCTGGCTGTGCCTAGTTGCGAGCGTAATTGGGCACCAAATCCCATCCCTGAAAGAGATGCTGGATCGAAAAACCCAGTGATTTGGCTCTAGCCATCTCTAGCTGCACTGCTAATCAACAAGCTGAGTCCGTCAGACCTGACTGAACCAGCTGTGCTGCTTCCTCGCCTGGGAAGGTCCAGTACGCAAGTCGAAACCCGAAAACCCCCGCGCGAACGCGCGCGGATTATCCGAGTTGCGAGAAATCCGAAGCGCATGTTTGCTGGAACCCTGGGCGGGTGGGAAAACAAGAACATGTTCGAGCCTTCCTGGTGCAACAGCCCTCTTTGAGTGCCGAAGAGGAGCTTTGCCGTTGCCAGGTGATTTGTGATTCAAGCAGTCAGATGTACTGCAGGGTTGTTGTGTGGTTAGTCTTCCGTGACGAGAATCGGGCGGACCACTGCTGAAGGTCCACATGGCTCGTCTACTCTAAGGCCCGCTTAGATATGGCTAGGAAGACGAAGTGCCATGTTGGGATGGCTAGGGTCAGTGGCCGCCCTCCGGTAGCTACGAAAGGATTCCTAAGCTGCATAGACGACAAACAGAAAGGGAAGACGGAAAGACTGTAATCGAAAGCACACAGGAAAGGCAAGAACTCTCCTGTCCTTCCGTCGCGTAAAATGCCAGATCCCCACACTAGAATCCGTGCAAGTATGCAGGTCACCTTTCGCCAGATGCTACGGCTGCAGTAGCAGCCGTTGCCAGCGAGGCAGCGTCCCTCGGCAACAAGAAGCACCTTGCCAGCCCGCTCGGTTCCTGCTTGTGAAGTCACGCCTGCCTGCTGAAGTATATGCATTGTTTCAGGACCAGGTTTCCAGAGGCAGAGATTCAGCAGCAGGTGTGCAAGGCCAGCTTTCACTCCACTTGGTACCACTGGCACCGGAAATACTGCGGGCTTTGGATTCGACTGCGCTTGTGGCAGCGGTGAGTGTGACGAAGCCCGGCCTGTTAAATCTGTCCGAGAGTTCATCAAACCGGGCGAGCCCCACATTTTCCTCAGGCAGGCAGGCAGGCACGTCATATGTTGAACCATATTTCGAGAGGTCTTCGCATCCTTGGCAGCTTGTGGAGAGCTTGCAGCAACCACGGCGCAGGCTTTGCAACATAGCAGCCGCTCCATGTTTGAGGCATGTTTAGACAGCTGTAGGGCTCCTGCATTGATGGAAGGTCGGTGCTGCAGAGGCCACGCGGAGACTAAACAGTTATCGAGTTTGATGCATGACCACTTTGATGATTTCGCACAGGCAACGAATACAGCTTTTGCTCTGGATCAGTGCGGCGCTGCTGGAAAGCGCCTGGTGATTTCTGCGTGCGGCCCACAGTTCGCGCCAGTCTTGTGAAGGCTTTCAAGCCCCGACCGTAGCTGGCAGGCTCAAGGCATCGCACGCTTTGGGAGAGGCGCTTCGAGACTTGACTGCAATCGCTAAGCAGGTCAAAGAAGCCTGCGCAGGCCGGCATCCAATCCGCCGAAGTGGAAGATCTCCTGGCAGTTTTGCGGCGCAACCAGGACAGTCCGGAGGTGCAGGCGGTCACATAGAGACAAGTTGGTAAGTACATGGCATATCCTGAGCCCAGCACAAGCAGGCGATGGCTTTCAAGACCGTACATGGCCATCTCCTGCAGAAGGGCGACAGAATCAGCCAAGGGGCCAGAACCCATGTGTTGACTGCCGTTCTGGCTGGAGTTGAGGCCCGCAGCTTTCAAAAGTTGTACATGTCATCAGTGCAGCCAGGGGCCAGATCTGAGCGCAAGCTCACGAACAGGAGCATTCTTCGCATCTGGAGCTGC